AAATTTGAGAAGCTTCTAGATCCTTGCACTGTTTTAGCTTGTCGGAAAGTCGGAAGTTCAATTTCTTTACCTTGCGTTTAAGTTTAGCTGTGGACAGTTTGGAGGTCCTAAGTCTCGTCTTCAACTTATTTGCTCGGTCGATGTAATATCCGCTGGTGTAAACGGGTGATCTTGCATAATTATGCTCAGCCATCGAAACTCTTCTTGAATTCGGAGTGAGGAACTTGGGCTGGGAAGTCGTGGGACGAGATGGCGATGGGAAAAGTTGACGAGTGGCCTTGGGGTTCTTCAAAGTTTTCCGCAAAGTTTCCGTAGCAGAAGTTGAATTTTCTTTAATCAATTCGGAAACGGTTTCAAACGTTCCATCTACACAGTTTTAAAATAATTGAATCAAGCAATGCCGTTCATAAAGTTTTAAGATTTTAATTTACCTTCATTAACTGTACAAACGGATTTCATCTCACTTGGATACTCAGCGACACCAGATTCGTCACTCAAAATCCGTATAGTAATTTCGATTTTTGTTCCTTGGGTCAAAATAGAGTCATCTAAAATATGAAGGTTTTGCTTTAATTCATACTAATTAATGCTGAAGATATTAACCGAACGTATCTTGATTAACTCACCACTAAGCTGCCCTCTGATTGTTATGGTATGAAGAGGAACATCTGTATCAACTACTTCCATAGTTTGTTCGTCATTTTGAGGTGGGTCAGTCAGTGGATATAAATTAACAGCAGGGACAGCAGGAACCCTCCAACGCTTAAAAGAATCCGCGTCGGTTCGAAAGTCGGACGTTAGGAAATGCCGAGAACAAATTTTGTGCCCACTTGGTTCCCATTCTTGGTTGGATATAAGTCCTCGAATTACTTTAATCCATTCGTTTGGAGTTTTCAGATGAAGTTTTAATCCGGGAAAGCTAAGTTAGTCATTTGCTAGTTAATATTAACATAATCAAAAAATTACTTTATTCCCTAGTGTATTGTGGTTACCAGTGGTACGAAATGTCAGCAATCCACCGAAGTGCTAAAGTGCAAGAAGGGACACAGCAAGTCTTTGGAATCCCCGGATCCTTTTTCCCACATTCCATTGTAGATTTGACTCCTTAGTACTTTAAACAACAAGAATATTTAGTTTTCTCAACATGAGCGGTTAGCTGATACTAAGAAAAATTTTAGTGGGTAATTATTATCGCAACAAGCATTACTAAAATCATTGCAATATGGAATCAAGCATTGCTAACCGGATAAAATTGAACATAGGCAGTATAATTCGACTTATTGTTTGTAAAACAAAGCTATAATATCGTATTTTTTAAGATATTGTGTTGTTTACTTGGTTAAAATTAATTTCAAGTTGAATGCCACCAGTAGATTCAATTCTTACAAGTGGAAAATTTATTAAGATGGACATACTTATTGAGCTACCCTCGTATATTCAAAAAAAATTTTGCGTGGCTCTGTTTGGCAAATCGTTACTTAATTTTTTTTACAGATATTTGAATTTGCGAACAAATTAGTAATAAAATGAATTTAGTATTCATAATTATGTGTAACTTACCTAAATTTCAGATATTAACACGTAAGAATATCTTGGTCACGTATACTCCGTAACGTTCGTACACTTGCAGAGGTCCTCCAACAACCCGTATTACAACACAAACACACAATACTCACTCGCCAATTATTCACACACTGTCAAATAATTGTAATTAGTTGATAATATTCTACTTCAAAAACCCACTGCCCAAAAATCTACCCGTATTGACTAATTCATACTTTGCGTATTAAACTTTACCAGTCAAGAGAGAGACGATCAATTTTACGAAATGTACACCTTCGACTCCACTAAACAAATTGTTGATGAGCTTTTTTATGTAGTTCAGGTAGCTTTATGATAATTTATATTGAATGCAAACAGAAGATGAAAACGATGGCAAGTGGTGAAGTACATATATGCACGTGTGGACGAGTGGTAGACCGGGCACACAAATTCAAGTTGATCGGGGTAGTTGTGAGACATGCCATGATTCGCGAGAGCGCTGGCATCTCACCTCATGCGATTGATTCTTGTATCATTTACTACACAATGACATTAGGCTTGTCTTGTGAATCCGTTGAATGGAAAGGCCACGGAAAGGTTCACAAAGTTGTTTGTATGTGAAGGATCGTGTACAATCCACCAAGTTCTAACAATGTGTCTATGTATGTACAGGTATACATTTAGACATATACATACCTGTTTTACGTTCTAAAAGGATTGCTACTTGTAAGTGGAGAAACACATGTTGATCATCACATCAACAATATCCACAATTCGGCTCCTTATAAATTGTCAATTCAAATATATGTAAAAGCCTTATAAACAATTTCCTATAGGAAATATAATACAAAGTATCGGTAAGATGAAACCCCAACACAACCCTGGCAAATTTCGGCTCCAGTTTAAAGAACTAACTCAACGAATTAATTTTACGTATAAGAATTGTAGTAAAGTTAATAACAAGGACAATTTTTATCGGCGAAATTACAAAGCTGGTGGTAAAGTGAGCAGCATTTCTAAGGGGTTAGAGTCCATCTACATTGGGAAATTAATCCGATGCTGCACGGCGGGGAGGGAGGTTCCGAGATGTCTTCGATATCTGGAAGACACAGCGGTAATCTTGCAAATATACATAGTGTGATCTAACAATGTGATACATTGTCATTTGTAATTTATAAAATTGCATTTATGTCAAGTGTGCATAATAAAATTCCGACCTATAATACAGCGGTTGGACTTTTGAAAATTCTACAGGCCGCACCAATCATAGGATACCCACTGTGTTCCCATAAACTAAAATTGCGTAATTGACTAAATTTGTTTACAGATTAAAGTTGAGGGTGGACAGTGGGTCGTGTATGGTTGGACTTATGCTGAAATCCTGCGCAGAGAGGAGGATCCCCCTGGCGACAGAGGTCGCAAAGTAAAGGAATTCTTCAATTTGTGCATCAACCTTCATGCAAAGGTTTGATATGTATTTATACATACGTCTTTATTCTTTATGGGGGGTATGTAAATTGCGAAAAATAGTGATAAAATAGTGCCTTGAAGTTACGAGCCAGTTTTCCATGCTTTAATGACAATCATGTTGTCATTATTATGTATTTAGGTGTACGTTTGGAGATAAAACTTCGTAAGAGTGCCCTTGTGGCACTCTTACGAATAATGTTACCCTTTTGAAAAGTAACTGTACGCTCAATTATAAATAAATTAATTGCACCCTTAGAAATGAGGTTACAATTATAAGAAAAAAGTTAACGTATATGACTCTACCGTCGTGGTTATGAATTTATCACCAACTAGTTTTATTTTATATCTCTGGTGATAATTTAATACCAAGTCAGTGAAATTTTATAATTAGTCGGTGACAATTGTAACCAATCGATTTATAACCACGGCGGTAGGGTCACATTCGTTTACTTTTTGGGTATACTCTTAACCCCATTTCTAAGAGTGTACACTGTATTAAATCCAGAGAAGCGTTAACCTGATAAAGACTAAAGGCTTCAACTGCACTTCACTTAACTATGCTCCTATCTTATAATAAAATCGGGCATTGAATAGTTTTCGAGATACAAAACTAACCAAATACGTATTAGGGCAAAAATAGAACATCCTGAATTTTTAGGGATTTTGTAGAGTAACCTTACTAACTTTTTGACAAAAATGTAACAACCTAAAAATCATATTTGAGCTCTTCCTTTCCCTAAAATTGCATGACTTTGATGTAATTTGTTTGCTTAAAAAGTTTATTTTTTATTTAAATTCCAGAGTTTGCTCGACCTCCACCAAGTAATGGTGATGATTACCCACGCCGGAAAGTTGGGTCCTCTCGGGGAGGAAATGGTTCAACAAGGGACAAAAACAGGTTCTGGAAGTTGCTCAATGGAACAAATCATCCTTAAAAGAGCCAGGAGTTTTTCGCTTAAAGTCCCCACACTGGATCTCATCGGACCCACCGTGTACGGAGATGACCCCGTGAAGCGGTCAATATTAGACTTTTACCCCCAGTTGTATTCGGATAAAGGCCTAGTCAGGTCCACTCAAGCAATGCTGGACGCCATGCGCGATGCACCCCATTCCAACCACGAGCAAACCCCCCCAGGTGACAGAAGTGAGGAGCACGTTACCTTCAGCAAAGCCACCATTTAAGCGAACCTCACGGAGTGATAATTCTTCAGCAAAGAAGAAGAAACAACCCGAACCCGATCTTACCCGGGAAGTTATAGAAGATGAAGAAATTGACCCGCCAATAAGTGAGGAAGCTGTGAAGGAGGAATTACTTGGCGAAGAGGATATCGATAACTTCACAATTAAAGGGGTATCCGAACCGGAGGGGGATTTAGATAAGCTAAAATCCTCACAAGATCCCGGGCTAATACAATTTGAAGACCTAGATCCAAGCCTGGTACCGAATGCGGGATCGGTTTCCGCTTCCGATCGCGACGTCCTCCTATTCGTGACGAACCCGGAGATCATAGTAAGACTGAATCCGTCCCTATTTCCCTCGGGGGTCGGTTGGTCGGCGAAAAGTCTGCTACCCTCTGACGGGCAGTGCAAGTCGAAGAAAAGTGACGCCATTTCCGAACAACCGCCGCCACTTCCGGACCCCCTGCCAAAGATCCCGGCAGACTGTAGAGAAACCCTGCTTGAGGTCAATTTCACCCCGGAGGAGTATCTCGAGCAGACCGTGACGGAAGATTATTATGCTCAAGGCATCAAACTGGTTGATGGGGTTAGACGAGTCGTGTTCTATCATAGACTCAATATGTAATTTATTAATTATTATCAATACAATTTTGCTATGAATGACAACAAATTACAAGTTATTATGATTATTAAAATTATTAACTTTTGACAAATTAAAAACAAGTGTAATAATTATGTATATATATTTTTTTATTAACATAATTACCAAGATAATTGGTTAATATTTTTAAGAATGACAGTATTTAATATTGAAGCTGGTATGATTCAACAAGTTTCCCGAATTGCACTATTTTTTAAATGCATCAAAGTTTTCGAAGGCTAGTCCACCTATCTCTTCCTTCGTGTCAATAGTTACTTCGATATGGGCACGTGTTTCTAACAAATTTCCGAGTATTTCCACTTCCCCGAGCATTCCATCGAGCAGAGATTTTCCCTCATGTTCCGGCAAGATTGTAGAGTCACCCATCACACTAATACGAATCTTATCGTGCGACGAAACTATGAAAAATGCAACACCTGCAAAATAATCAATTCATAAATATTTTGCGAAATTATTATCTCGCGAATTACATTTCACACGGCACACTTAGAAATCCAGTATAATTGCATATGGAATGCATGTATCTAGATATGACTGTACCAAAGAGGTATTGTTAAGTAATTGTTCGGTATTAAAGTTTTACCATATCGGAAGCTAATTTTCATGGAATAATTTATGGTATAATTTTAATACGAAACGGTAGCAATTTTAGCATCGAGCAATTAACACCTATAGCGGATTTCTAGCAGTGTAAATATACACATAAATTGGCTGATTAACCGTTCGTTCCCTCCAGCCTGGATCCAACCGACCCCAGTTTAGTCACCGGATATCCAAAGAGTCGAAATGGGTGTCGATACATGATAAATATAGAAGCTGTGTAGGTTCTAACAGTTTCCCCTTTCATAGCGCCATGAATCGATTTTCGCAATAGAAAAGTTGGCAGACTACCGGACAGACTTGCAATGATGGTAAACATCCAAGGAAACGTGGAAGACTTGATGTACCGTAGCTGTTCTTCGATTCGTACCAGTTTTTCGAGACCATTACCATCTTGCAAAAGTTCGATGTATCCCATCGCACTGATTAAAACAAATGAATTTTTTTTAGAATTACTTGCCTGTGCTACTATCTCTCTCTTTT